AGATAGGGATAGCTAATCGAGATGGTATTTTAAATATCTCATGAATAGGTCATCAGAACTTTACAATACGATGCAGTGTTTCCTTTTATAACAATATCTATGTAATGACTGAGTTACAAGTTCTGTAACTATCAAAGCATTTGCATCATCCTTACATAACACAGCCAACAATTAACATATATAACTATTCAATCACAATTGAGTTTAATTTATCCTATTTTTGTTTGTTAACATTTTACTACACTGTGTTTATTAATGTAGCAATGATGAAAATGTCATCCCTATTATATTGTTTGCATTGTTTTAGAAGGATTGATATTATCCGTCCATACATTTACTACCTGCGAATAGTTTTACTTAACATATATAAAGAAAGCCAAAGTTTTAATATATCAAATGATACAATATATTATTGCTTTCTGTGTGGTGTATTATCTATTTAGTCTACACTTCAAACTTTTATCACTGGGCTCATATCGAAAATTAAAACATAGATTTACAGTTCCCATTGTAAATCAATACTGTTAAACTTTAATGTGTTTTAATTTGTTCCTACTAATTATAAACGTATCTTTTATAAATATAACCACACGTTATTAGAAATAATTTTATTTAGTGATAACACTTTGTTGACAGAATTAAAATATTACAAGAATTAAATTGTATGGCAGGGAGCGAGTTTGTTTACATGTGAAAGACAGAAGCTGTGGCTATTTGAAACCTGACAAGAGACTAGTAGGATTATTTAGTATGGTACATTCACAATGTTCAAGATTGTAACACTACTTGTGTTTTGTAATCGTCGCTGTTTTAATACACGAGAATTTAAAGATTTATTTTTAATTTGATAAAAATAATACAATATACTTAAATATCAAATAAACAAGACCGAGACTTTACAAGTTCGTTATCGATCTCCGCTTGAAACAGCGGTATCTATGGAGCAAATCGCAAACTAAATTATTAGATATATTTTAATATATTGTTTTGTCAGTATTTTAATTGACTAACTGTTATATATTGTATCATAAGTAAATGTTAGTCACTTGGTTTAATTAGAGTAGATTTTATAACTGTTATTGTTATACTTCAGCGTAAGAATCTTAATTATTTACTATTAAATATAATTAGTTAACTTGAATCCTAAACATCTCTTGTTCGTAATAACTTTAAGCAGGCAGTCAATGGAAGAATTCCGCTAACAAACAACTTACTCAGAATTAAAATGGTGTTAATGAATAAATAAATAGATGGTTAGTGAGAGGTCGCCACTTCCTACTTAATGTTAAAAAGGGGTGCATGTAATAAGGAATGGAATATTAAAACTAACTAATTCGAAAAGATGTAACTCATAAAATCTACTCTAATTAACGTATTAAGGTGTTAAAACCTATTTAAAATATAGCCTTTACTTTCTATAGAAGTTGTAGAAATAGATATTATACATAGAGATGAATTTCACTAGCCTCCAATTCTGGAATTGAAATTCGAAAATCTTGTCATTTAATAATGTTTTAAGATGGTTACAGTTAGTGGGTGGAGCTTATCTAAATCTGAACAAATACGTTTAAGCTTCTATAGT